ATCATCAACTGCTTTCCAGGTATCAACCCTACCATATGAGTATCAACTCATCTTCTCCCTTAAGCTTCAGCTTCTTTGATCAGCTCCACCTTCAGGCTTCACTATCTTCAGGGATATTCAAGTATCAACTTGATCTTCACAAAGTCTTTAGACTTCAACAATCTCCAAGGAATCATCCTCTTCAAAGCTTCAGCTTCTATCTTCAATGGCTTTTAGATCTTCAATCAAATCTTCAATACTCTTCATTGCTTTCTTTATCTTCAACAACCCAAATGCTCCAACAAACAAGATTCAATCAACAAGATGAGGTGAGGATGTTAGAGTGCTCACTGACTTCCAAAGGATGCCATTAAGGACTTAACATCAAAAGGAAAGGCTCTCTCAAAGTTCTACCTCATAGGGCAAGGTCACTGATCCCTCCAAAGGAGAGAGGTGAATACCCTTAAGGGACTTTATATCATAGAGAAGGAAGGGGGTGAACAAGACACTCCTTGTTTATTGAATGAAATTATTCTATCTAAAGCTCTACCTATGTACTTATGATCCTATAAACAGAACAAACAAAAGCTAAAACTAAGCTCCTCTTCAAGGTCTTCAAAGTCTTCAATGATGATCCACAAGGTCTTCAACTCAATCTTCAAGGCTCACACACTCAAAGGAGAAGAAAAGAAAGCAAAACAATACAAACTATGCCCTTAAGCAACACACAACATCATGCATTCAAAAATCAATTAAAAATACTAAAATACTATATAATATTCTAGTAAAATTCTAGGGGATTCTATACATACCTACCCTTAACCCATATATTCCCCATACTCTAATCTTGACCTAAAAACCCAAAACAAAATTGTTAAGTCTACTTATGTTGAATAAAACCCTAATTTTGTTATACTAATGCTAGCCTAAACAAACTAATCAAATTTTAATCTAAAAATCATGAATTAAATCCTATGGGAAACTATGATTCAATATTTAACTATGCCAAAAAGAATGGCTCAAAAATCCTAAGGGAAGGTCCTAAAAGAAATTCTACAAAATTGAGTATCAAACTAACCATATTTAAAAGCTATTTACAAGAATAATATACTAAAAATATCAAAAGAAAATAAAATGCCAATTTTATTTATTGATATTTTTCTAGACAAAATTATGAACATGTAGAAAAAACAAGAATTAAAAAACAATCAATTTTCTATTTTATATGATTTATTGAAAATGCAAGAAAATAAAGGAAATAAAAAAATAAAAGAAAATGAATTAAAGGGGAGGGGGTGTCAAACTTAAAGGCGCCCAGTTATATTCCCAGATGGGCCAGGGATGGGGGGTGCCATTAGCGAACACCCTAGGCCCATATGCGCTCAGAAAAATAAATGAAAAAACTGAAAGAAAAAGGATAAATCTACGGTGTATTTAGTAAGCTTTTTATGTTCAAAATTGGATTGGGCCAATGGTGGGGGTGTGAGTATCAAAGGATTTACTGAGCCCAGGATTCATCATTAAATGAAACGGCAACGTTTGGTTCAATGGTTTCCCTCCGTTTTGAAATTAAATTGGAGCCGTTGGATCAGATTAATGAGTCAAATAACCAGAACGATCTAACGGTGGTACACTCATCTTCCCCAGAATGCCATTAGGGTTTCAGCAAAACAGAATCCATGCGTGACTCTTCTTCAAGCTCGTGCTCTCTCATATGGCCATGAAAAGCCACGATCCAAAGACCAAAATTGCTCCACATTTCCCCAAGAATACAATGGTACACCTAGTTTTTACTGAAACATCGTATATCTTCCCAACAGAACGCACAAACATTAGGGTTTCACCATACTCCTCTGAGATCAATCACGATGAAGCTTAATTCCAATGGTATAAACTTGTTCTTTACATTGCCCTAATCAATCTATGCCATCACATATCAATCAATACACACTAAACAACTTATTCTCGAAAATTAAAGAACCATCACCCTGCCATGAAACTCCATGGATCTCTCTCAAATCCTCAGAAAATCATCAACTAACCTAGCATGCCAATTCTACACCTAGAAACTTGGTCAAATGTACATAAATAAGGTGGTATAAGGAGAATCACCAACCTGTCAAATGATGATGGTGAGTGCTGTTAGGGCTTGATTCAAGACTTGTAATCTCTTCCAGATGCTCCTCCAATGGGGTATAGCTTTCTGTTTGCAAGAATCTTGAGGAAGAGAGCTTGTAGATGAAGAAATGGAAGCTTGCTTGATTTTGAAGAAACTTGGAAATCCACTTTCTCCTTCACTCTTCACCACTGATTTCACCAACCTTCACCAACCTTTTCCTTCACTATGGCTCACTCTTTAAATAACAACCAATGGAATCATCTAGGAGCTTCTAGAATGAGCTAGAAAGCTTTAGAATTTCTCATGAAGTGATATGTGGTATATCTCATATCATGCCTTAAGACTTGTCATTTTGTGCCAAAATCTCCTTACAAGAGATATAGAAAGGGAATGAGTGAAAAAAACAAGCTTGGTTTTGCCTTATGTGAAGATTTGCAAAGGTTCCTTAATATGCAAGCATGAACTTTACAAAGTAACCTCCATTTTAAGACCTCAAATCAAAAATCTATTTGAACCATTGTTTTTAAAATGATGTTTGGATTCAAAATGACATATTGGATGACCTATTTTGGATTTGTACATCTCCCAAACCAATTTCCAACTTGGATCCATTTAACTTATAAGACATTTTTAGGTCATTTTCACCCATTCATGTAAATCCTTGCTACAAGCTTTTTCAACAACTCATGACCACTTTTATAGACTTAAAATCCCATTTTGAACAACTTTTATGTTTTGAGTTTTTTCATTTGAGGCTTGGAAATAGGAGATATGGCCTTTGCTTAAAATGACCTATAACTTCCAAATGACCAAAAAACCCCTGTCTTGTTCAAACCATAAGTTGAGTTCTACAAATCCTATCAAGGACTTCTAGTACTCTCTAGAAAGCTAAGAGGATGATCTTCAACATTCATGTTGACCAAGAAATCATAGGAATCATACTACTAGGGCAAAAGTTGTCTGCAAGTTGGGTGACTTTCAAGGACCCAGATTCACACACCTCAGATGACCTGTAATTTGTCAAAACCATAACTTGAGCTCTGCACATCCTATCAAGGACTTCTACCACTCAAATTAAAGCTAAGAACAGGCTCTACAACATTCATGTTGTGGGGAAGATGAGATATCAACCAAATCTTGAGCTAAAACTGCCTGGACTATAGGGATCAAACTAGGGTTTTTTCACTGACAATTCTTAGAAACCCTAACTCAAAACTTCTCAAACTCCTCAATCATGATGAGTTGGTCTAGGAATCATATTTATAACATCTCCATACATCATTCCATGATCACATGGCCCTTGGATTAGGTCTCAGCCTTCTCCAAATCAACAGTTGACCCAGGGTTGACCCAGTCAAACCCTAATTCTACCATTCATGGTTGAATCTTCTGAATTCTTGCATAATGACCTCTCTGGGCTTCATGATGGCTTTCAAGACATCTCATAGACTTTCTCAAAGCTTCAAGTTCATTCTCAAAGTCTCAGAATCATCTGAGGAGCTCCCACAACTCTCAAGCTATGAAGCACACAACTCTGGTTTCAACCAATCCCTCTGAGGATCTCTTGAACTTTCTGATGAAGGTATCAACTTTCAAACACTTGATGGATAAATAAATGTTGGTCAAATTTTGGGGTGCAACAGCGGCTGACAGCAAATTTCTTCGCACCTGCTTCTTCAGTATCATATTTTCTTTGCAGAGCCTCCCATACCTGTTTAGCAGTCCTGTAGCTACTATAGTAGTCGTACAGATCATCAGCAAGGTTGTTCAGAATGTGATTTTTGCACAGATAATCACTCTTGTGCCATAAGGTGATTTCTTTTCGGAGCCGTAGATCATCTGCTGCAGCCTTAGCTTTTGCAGCATCTGAGTCAGACGTTTTGGAAATCCCGTCTGAATCTGCAAGTGGGTTACCATTCGGTAGTTCAGATGATGCAGAAGGGACAACCGGGATATCCTCAGTCAGAACGTGGACAACCTTTTTCAGAGTTAAGAAAAACTTCATCTTAGCTTGCCAACGTTTGAAATTGGAACCCTCAAACCTGAAAGGTTTGTCAGAGACCGAAGCGGCCGCAGTAGTACCGATAATTTCCTAAGTTGCCATGGCAGTTATTAAAACGTCTTAAAATTGTTGTTTTCGGATTTGAAAAATTGAGTTTGGCACAAGGAAATTATTGAGACGAGTCGCGTACTAGGTCGCTTTCTTTAAGACGCTTCGCCGTACTGCCAAAATATGCAAAGCAGTCGATTTACGACGACGCCTCTAGGATAAAACAACTCGTTCAAAACCTTACGATTATCAGTTGCACACTGATAATTCGCTCTAGAAATACACCTTTCTAGTCACAGTATCTGGCAAAAATAACCAGTCGGAAAAACAAGAAAAGAAAGATTTTAGATGAAGAGAATTAAGGGAGAGAAGAAGGAAATTAAAATTCGTGTGAACTTGTGAAATCCGGAGTGCTCACTACTGAATTTCTACCCTTTATTTATAGGCAGCTACCTGCACCTGAGTGGGGAGAAATTCGTGGTGAATGGAGAAAATGGTGGGAGAATGAGAAAATCGTGGAGGACTGGATCTAGTCAGTATGGCAGTTACTGACCAATTAATTTCTTAATTAATTAATATTATTATTAATTAAATTCTATAAATTCGGGTCCAAAAAATAATTCATCTAGACCGGACTAGACCTGACCGAGCTGAGTCGGCCGACCGGACGGACGGCGGTGCCCTTTAGGGCTCAACCCGATTGACTAAGTTGGAATAAATAAACACTACTTATATTTCCATTCCCTTCAATGTGGGACTAAAATGAATCTTTTAAAATTCACTTCTATATTAGTTCTTACTTGTGTTCATTTATTGACCATTAATTGTCAATAAATCTTTCAAATTCCCACTCTAATTAATATAATTCCAACAGTTTTGAACACTTAACGATAAAGTTTTTAGACTAGGAAACGTTGTAGTCGTACCTCCATTCAAGTCCCATTCCTCCCACTCTTGCATATTCTCAAAGTGTAGAATCTCCAAAGAGGTAAATGGTTGAAATGAAGAACCACCCCTTCCATAGAACTCAATACCAATCCTCTCCACTGATTGCATCCCTTCAATAACAAGTTCTTTCAGATTACCCAATTGTCCAAGGGTTGGAAGCCATAAACAATCATTATAGTTCGAGATCCTTAAATACACCATACTGCTGAATAAAAAATCACCTAACCAATTAGGAAAGCTGATTCCTCCATAGCCTTTGATGGTGAGACTTTTCAAATTTGTTGACGGTCGCAACTTTTCAAGTACAACACTTTGAATTTGTGAATCTAAAGAAGTACTACTGCAATCCCATTCCAAAGCTAACTCGTCAATTTGTTCTTTCTTCTTTATATTGGCTCGATCTACTTCAAAGGGGTCATTAACATTTTGTAGCTGTGAGATCGAAAGATTTCCATGTAGGTGGGGAAGTTTTCCTAGATCTGCAATATTCAATCCACCATTATGTTTGCTGACAACAAAGTCGGACAAAGAGTGGAGATTTTCTAGTTTGGCTATTTGTACGGGCATCTCCCTCAATGTAGTGTCACTAACGTCAAGGTACCGCAGATTAACCAATTTTCCTATGTCCTCCGGCAATTCAGTGAACCTTTTACAGCCTGCCAACAACAAAAATTGCAAACGGTAAAGCTTGCATATTTCAGTAGGCAGCCTTTCAATATTAGTGTGAGAAAGATTTAAGTACTGCATGTATGACAAATTTCCAATAGAATTGGGGACCTTGGTGATACTCTTGTAGCTTGACAAAGACAACACGCGTAATTGTTTCATTGTTGGCAGCAAGTCATGTACTACCTTGTTAGATAGCAAACAAAGAGGCAATTGTTCTTGTAATGGGAATGCCAGAAAGATACGCAAATTTTTTAATCCGTATAATTGATCAAATTTGTCATATGAATCATATGTCCCTCTATTGTATGAAAAATTATGCGGCGTATCATCTAGGTCAAATCTATCCATATTGAAAGAGTAAGATGAAACCTTTTCAGTAGCTAAATCATGGATGAAGTCGTGCATTCCGAAGTTTCTTTCCTCATCACCAATAGATAGCCGATGTATCAATGACCTTGACACTAGTTCATCAAAGTATTGTTCTCCAACTTTTTCTTGATTTGTGGATGATGATTCTATTAAGCCTGCTGCAATCCACAACTGAACTACCATCTTTTTTTCTAAGATGGACTTCTTTGGAAAAAATGAACAATGTTGAAAACACAGTTTTAAAGGATAAATAAGGAATTTGTAACTCAATTCGAGAGAAGCTAGCACCTCATAAGTTGTTTCCCGAGCGTGGCTTTCTAGCACGTAACTCCAAACATTTGGGTCCATTGAGATGCGGAGAATAGCCCCATGTTCTACAGCAGCTAATGGTAATCCATCACACTTTTTTGCAATTTTTCTGCCAATTTCTTCTTGCATTTCTTCTTTAAATGCGCCAATTTCTTCAAGATAGCATCGTCGGTGGTAGAAATGTGCTCCAAATGCATGTTCGGCAAGTAAAGTCCAGCAATCTTCAACTTTCAAGGGTCTCAGATAGTGAACAGAGAGAAAGGTAGGCATGGATGTTGCAATTCTTTCATCTCGGGTTGTGATGATGACCCTACTTCCTGTTTTCCCAGCATTCAAGATATCCATGAGTAATCTCCAATTGACAAATCTTGCGTCCCACAGATCATCCAGTACTACTACTAGCAAAAACTTTGGGTAAATGGTATTGATGCGGGTTGTATCATTACTGGGGGTTGCTTGTGAAGTAATAGATTTAAGAATGGATTCAAAAACACTCGAATCATCAACATCAATTGAGAAATCTGTCCACAGTTTTAACTCAAATCTGCTTGTTACTTGTGGATGATTGTAAAGGTATTTAGCAAGGGTTGTTTTACCAATCCCTCCCATACCAACAATAGAAATCCCTCTTATTTTACTATCACCATCACTACCAGACAATAAAAGGTGTTTGAGTTTCTCAATATCAGCATCTCTACCATAAATAGAAGATTCAACACCAAGTTGTTTTCCTGAACTAAAGTCTTCTAATATTTGAATTAAATTAACCGTTTTAGACTTAATCACTGCAATCAAAAAACTTAAACGAGAATTAATTTTGAGCTGTTCAGGAGTAAGTGCGGCATCATACCCTGAAATTTGGTTTTCGCCAAGCAAACGGTCAACTTGTAAAACAGCATCAGTCAAACTGTCAACTTGAAAAACAGCACGTGTGAGGAAATCCAGCGATTTGTTGTTAGCTTGAGTGGGGATGAGTTTCTTGTTAGCATAATAAAGTACATCTTGAAGATCCACCATTGTTCTCTCCACCTTTTCCAAGAGTGAAAGGTTACGATTCGCGCTCCAGTAATCGATATGCTCACCAGGAAAATTGTTTTCCAACAAATTTTTCACAGAAATTGAGAGTAACACGAGTGTTTCTCTCTGAATGCCATCCATTAGTTACTTTGTTTGTAAGAAGATGAAGAATTTGGGATCAGGATCAGCTACCTTTGTTTTTGTGTACTTTCGTACCTCTCTCATAACCATGTTTCTCTCTCATCTTAAAAATACATTAAAGATTAGGGAAATGCCCTCAGGGTTTAAGAGATTAAAATGGTAAGTTGAACATTATTTAAGAGATTAAAAATATATTTTTTTTAAATAGATGTGTATTCAATATTCTAAAAAGAGAAATAATTAAACTTTTTAAATAATATCATGTGTATTGAGTAAAATAAATATAACATATTTTTCTTATTTAAAATTCTTAACTAGTGCGTGAGGGCACTAGTTAGCATGACTCTTTAGAAAATCTCCTAAATCTTTTCCAAGGATTTGAGAGTGGGAATCTGTCCGCGTTAAAGGCAGTTGGTATATGGGCACACGTATCAATTAATCTACTTTTTGACTGCCTTTTATAGAAAAAGTGTAACTTTATCATGTTTTAAAGTCATAAATTAAGAATTAAACGAAAAAATATCATTTTATATAAATTAATTTTATGAGAATACAACACACCAAATCCCGCTACTCCAAGAAGACCGGATAATCAGGGGAGCCAGAACTTTTAAACTGTCGGGCCAAATTTTATACTAAAAATATAATATATTATTTACTAATAAATATTATAATTTTTTATAACTTTTAATATTTTAAAAATATTATATTATGCTTAATATGATATATTTTCGAGTTTATAATTTATAAAATAAAAGATTTTTTATATAATTATATTATACTTAACATGGTATAATTATTTTCGAGTTTATAATTTATAAAATATTATATTATGCTTAACACATTAAGAGCTTTTTTATATTATTTAATATATTATTTTGCAGCATATCTTAAAATAGAATAATGTGTATATATGTCAATTAAGAAAATTTTGCTAAACTAATTTCAATGTAATATATATAGTTACTTTGGGAAGTTTCTGCTGAAAATTACAATTGATATTATCTTTGTCACTAGTATCTTTAAACTCTAGATTGCACCTTTCTGACATGTATCTCTCTTTGTCCTTTTGCAATTCACGAATTTGAGCTTTCAATTATTCCAACGACTCCATCACTTGTTTATTGCTAGGATTTTTATTCTTTGGCTGCTTATACAATTTCGTTGGAGTGACACCAAATCTCTTATCCCTCACACGACCAGAATACTCAGGAACATTTAACACTCGACTTAGTACGCTCCTGCAATCATCGTCCTCAGCTGCAGTTATAGTCTAGGATAGACTTTCCTGAAATATAGATAAAAGCATAAATATATTATACACTTTTGAGTTTATGACAGAACTAATGTTGTACTTACACATTGCTCAAATACTTGTTGAACTTCTTCCTGAACGACTCAATCTCTACCCACACGGGCAACCTTCCACAAAACATGGTCCAGAAGAGATGTTGCATCACTTTTCTCCTCTTCTAACTACATATTAAGACAGATAATAAGCTTCACTTTTCTCGTATTCTAACTATATCATATTAAAGCATTTACATATACTTACTATTTTTTATTGTAAGCGTGCATATCTCAAACGCCCTTTTTTGTATGGATATGTGGGTTTTGATGCTGATTGCCGATTTACGTCACTCACAGCCTGAAAAAACAAGTTTAAGTCATATCATAACTCATGTGGAAGAAGTATATATATATTATACATTGTTCATGATAAGTTAGAATTACATGAAATTTTTGGGTTCTTCGCTTGGCAACAAATGTTTCCCATTCTTCAAGTGAAATCAAATCAACATACTTCTTTGGATGCTCTGATTCAACAAATTTTCCATCAGAATCCTTAAGAAACTTATTCGTTAAAAATGCTCGAAATCCTCTTAGTCGTTTTCCAGCCAATTGAAGACAATATTTTTTCCAGTCGTCATCAATATTAAAAGACCTCTGCAAACAAATTAACATACATATAGTATGTTAGTATAAGTAATTTAAAGACATAATCGTCGACATAATTAAAAAATATCAGATATCATATATGTATCTCGTTCCATATTTTTTCTTTAGCCGGTTTCAACGAAGGAATTCTCCAATTATCGCAAGTGATTGGAATTTGCGAACGAACAAGTGCCCCAATGTAACTTGTTAACATCACACCATTAGGCTTAATTAATTGGTTTGTTTCATTCCAATGTACATCATATTTTATACATTTATCTCTCACACGAATGATTCCTTTCATAATTGTTACTCCTCTTGTAATATCTCCTTCCACATCTTGTGCTGGTTCGTTTCCATCATGTTTAGAAGTATCATGTGATTTTTTCTCGTTGCTAGCCATAATACCTGTAATTCAGAAAAATAAAATTATGAAATGAATGACATATATATATATATATATATATATATATATATATATATATATATATATATATATATATATATATATATATATATATATATATATATATATATATATATATATATATATATATATATATATATATATATATATATATATATATATATATATATATATATATATATATATATATATATATATATATATATATATATATATATATATATATATATATATATATATATATATATATATATATATATATATATATATATATATATATATATATATATATATATATATATATATATATATATATATATATATATATATATATATATATATATATATATATATATATATATATATATATATATATATATATATATATATATATATATATATGAAAATGAAAAACATATAAATAAGAAAAACAATTATATAATTTTATTGAATGACATAATATATAATTTTATTGAATGATATAATATATAATTTACAAGTACCTTTGTCACTAACATCTCTTTCTTTTCTTCGTTGGAACGTAGTTTACTTGTCTCTTAACAACACAGACGGATGGATTGATCCAAATTCCCTCGTTATGATCATTTCTAATATATGATTCGTCCTATCTAATATTCTCATATTGATCATCTATAATATAAGATTTCTTCTCAATGTCAATATCACCCTGATCTCCAATGTTATCACCGATTAATTTGTTGGAAAAAAGAACTCTAGACCATTTCGTACATGTCGGATCAGTGACATAGAACACTTTTTTAGCTTGCGTGGCTAGAATAAAAAGCTCATCTTTGTACCCCACCTTATTAAGATCCACTTGCAAAAATCCTGACTTATCCATTCGTATGCCACTATTATTTTCAATCCACTTGCATCCAAAGACAAGAATCTGAAACTTCTCATAATCAAACACCTAAATGCGCTCGATAACCTCAAAATATGACAGATATGCATATTTGGGGTTTAAGTCCTTCACACTTGAAATGTGCATTGCTTCAACAAGCACGATGACACCATTATTTTGCATTGTACTTTTATCATCTTGTTCTTTTGTATAAAATGTGTATTCATTAGTTGCGTATGCGCTATAAGAAAACACATGCAAACTTGGACCATATGCTAAACATCTCAACTTGTCTATTATTGAAGCGGGATCAGAATAAAACTTTGAAAATATATGATCCTTAAACCATGTTATAAAACTTCGATTGTGCTCTCGTACTATCTAATTTTCATTTCTATTCAGATTTAAACCTCATAGAATATCCTTGTGCATTTTAACATACGACTCAGCCTCAATGTCATTATGCAGAACATACAAATGCACTTGCTCCTATTTAGCCCTTGAAACTGTCACAACTTTATTTCCCACTATTTTTTCAACAACATGAGATTTTGGGAGGCCAATGGATTGAACATTGGACAAATATTTAGTATAAAACTCAATCGCTTCTTCAACAAAGTATCGTTCAACAATACATTTCTCTGGTTGACTTTGGTTTTTTACATACCCTTTCAATATTTTCATATAACGTTCAACATGGTACATCCATCTCATATAAGTTGGTCCATACAATTGTGTCTCTTTCACAAGATGAACAACTAGATGTACCATTATGTCAAAAAATGATGGAGTAAAATGCATTTCAAGCTCACACAAAATAATAACTATTTCTTTTTGCAATGTTAGTAAGATCGCAGGATCGATCACCTTACTACAAATTGACCCGAAGAAAAAACACAATTTAGTTATTGCGCTTCTTACTTTTTCTGGAAAAATAGAACGTATACCTATTAATAGAAAGTGTTCCATTATAACATGGCATTCATGTGTCTTTAAAGTCTTTAACTTGAGGTATTTCATAGACACAAGTCTTCTAATATCTGAAGAGTATCCTTCTAGAACTTTAACTTCACTTAGAAACTTACACAATATATTTTTCTCCTTTCTAGATAAATTATAAGCAGCAGGTGGTAGATATGTTCGATTTTCTTTCTTCAAGGATCCTAATTCATTTTTATTCTCATCGCTACCAAGTCCTTTCTTGCTTTAAGGTCATCCTTAGACTTTCCTTGTATATTGAGTAACGTACCAATAACACTTTCAAATACATTTTTTTAATATGCATAACATCAAGAAAATGTCATACATACAACGACTTTCAATACGACAATTCAAAAAAAAATTAACCTCTTCTTCCACCCACGCGTGACAAGCGTATGAGCAAAAGGCTTGCTAAACTTAGTACTTACATCTTTCACCTTTTCAAAAATGTGTTCACCTGTCAATGTAGGTGGAGCTCTACCTTGTTCTGAATTTCCATTAAATGCTTTTTTCCATCCACGGTAGTGATGATTAGAATTTAAGAATCTACGATGACCAAGAAAGACTTTCTTCTGACCAAATTTCAATCGCGTCCAATCTGTGTTTTCTTCACAGATAGGACACGCACATTGACCTTTAATGTTATACCCCGATAGATTTCCGTATGCTGAAAAATCATTAATTGTGCCAAACAACATCGCCCTCAAATTAAAACTTTCTTTCTTATATCCATCATAAACCTCCACACCGTTCTCCCACAAACTCTTTAAGTCTTTGATTAAAGGTGTCAAGTATACGTCTATGTCATTCCCTGGTTGTTTAGGACCAGAAATTAACATAGATAACATCATGTACTTACGCTTCATACATAGCCATGGAGGTAGGTTATAAATTATAATAATTACAGGTCATGTGGAATGTGAGATACTTTGTAGACCATGCAGTTTCATTCCATCAGTTGATAATGCCAAGCGAATGTTTCTAGCTTCTTCTCCAAAATCAGGATACTCATTATCAATTTTCATACACAATGGTGAATCTGTCAGATGTCGATACTTCCCATCTATAATTATATTATATGCATGCCAAGTCAAGTGTTTTGCATCTATTTCACTACAAAACATGCGTCTAAATCTCGGAATTATAGGAAAATACCATAAGACTTTTGTTGGTGACAACTTTTTCATATACCGAGATACACCGCATTTAGGAAACTCGTTTAATGATGCATATTCATTTCGAAACAAAACGCAATCATTTGGACAAGCATGTCTCTTATCATAGCTCATGCCAGTAGAGCATAATATTTTTTTAGCTTCATAGGTTCGATTGGGAAGAACATTATCCTCGAGAAGCATCTCTTTCATAAGGGCTAATAACTCTGTGAAACTTTTATCCGACCATCCATTACCCGCCTTTAAGTTGTACAACTTTAATACTGCAGAGTAGTGCAACCTTTATACAACAATTTCTCTACATCGCTTACCAACCTCTTAAACATCTTGGGACAATCCTGGAGATCTTCTTCAAGTGCTTGTGCAATCTCTTCGACTCGATCACAATCATATGTATCTTTGTCATTGTCATTTGAAGCATATGTCGTATTATCCCCCGGTTCAACATTCTCGTAACTTATCTCACCATGTAATGTCCAACATGTATAACTTCGATCAATTACATGTCTCTTTAAATGAGATTCTAACTGAACTGCGTCAATCTGACGCCCATAACAACAACCTAAGCAAAGACATGTGATCCTACTAGGGTCTTTGGCGTGTTCAACAGCAAACTTCACGAATTTTAATATCCCATTCTCGTACTCTTTTGACAATCGATTGGAAGACATCTATTTTTTATCCATACTAATTAAGTAGGCTAAAATAAACTAAGTTAAACAAAAACAATGAATACGTGTAGCACCTGTAGAGAAATCACCAACTTCTAGAACTACGCAGTAAGATTTTTGGAAACAATCACAATCTTCACAAGTAACCCCTATAACAAATTAACATACAAAATTAATTCATGTTTTCATCAACAACATCAACACCAACATTAACAACATAAACATTAGCAACATCAACAACAACATTTGGAATCGCATTTAACAACGTCAGAAAATGATACATTTGGTATGAAGCAACTAAACTAAGTAAGCTAAACAAAAACAGCAAATATCTGTAGCAGTTGTAGAGAAATCACCAACTTCTCGAACTACCTAGTAAGATTCTTGGAAACGATCACAATCTTCACAAGTAACTCCTATAACAAATTAACATACGCAATTAATTCATATTTTCATCAACAACATCAACATTAATAACATCAACAACAACATTTAGAATCACATTTAACAACGTCAGAAAATGACACATTTGGTATGAAGCAACTAATCAAAATTTGTCTAATTCTCATGTAACTATTAAAATATTAAGTAATTTTAGAAGACAAAGTGAGTTTTAATAATATCACTCAAACTCAAACTATAAATTTCCATACACACAAGACCATATTTTTGAACCTCTACTATATCAAAGAGAGAGCTTATGATAGTATTTTTCAAAATATAACATACATGGTTAAGAAAAGAGAAAACTAGTAGTACAAGTATACATGATAAAAACTATAAACCATTGTTCATAAAGAATTCAACACTCAACAGCATAATCTTATTATCTTGACAACAATGTATACATTAAAAATAGAAATTAGACTAAAAAATCAGTTCTAAAAAATGGAAATAGAAATAGAAATAGAAATTAAAAATAGAATCTTGACTAAAGCATAATCTTATTCCAAAATCAATTCTAAACTAAACTAAGACACTTAATATGTAGAAACTAAACTCTAGAGCAAATGAGAGAGAAAACGAAATAAACATAGATGATGTAAATTAAACTAAACTTAGAAATAGAAATAAAAACAGCAATAACGGCAATAACAATAATAACAATGGTGAGAGAATGAGAGAGAACGTACGGAGGGAGCACGACGGATGGAGATGGTTCAGTGGTGAGAGATTGAGAGAAAACGACAGAGATACGGCGTTAGAAGGAGGGAGCACGACGGAGGGAGATGGTTCAGTGGTGAGAGATTGAGAGAAAACGACGGAGGGAGCGCGAGAGAGAGAAAGAAAGAAATACTGAAGTGTGAAATGAAATAATGAAAAGTCTGTTTTATTTTTAATAACTAAAGACTTATAGCAGCGCTTTTAAAACCCCCCTATAGCAACGCTTTTTTCTTAAAAACGCTTTCGTAAATCCCACCTTTAGCAGTGCTTTTAGAAAGCGCTTTCTAAAGTCTGCCTAGGACAGGACCTTTAGCAGGGCTTTCGTATTCCCCTTATAGCAGCGTGTTTAGAAAGCGCTTACGTATCCTCTCTATAGCTAAAAGCGCTTTCGTATCCCCTCCCTATAGCAGCGCTTTCATAAAAGCGTTTTCTATAGTATTACAAAATAACAATCTTTAGCAGCGTTTTTTAGAAAGCGTTTTTTAAAGCTTGTGATTTTTTCTTTTTTTTTTATAAATCTTTTAGCAGCGTCTTTAAAAAAACACTGTCTTTGCTGCGCTGCCAAGATTCATTTTTGGCGTAGTATTTAGACATAAATTTATGCATTTTTTTGTTTAGCAGGTTCTAGAAATGCATTTCTGAAATAAGTTTATTTATAAAGTTAGGGTGTGATTCAAAAACAAATATAGTGTCTATTAGAAACGTTCGGAGACGCATCTTTGAAATCTAGAGGACGTTTTAGTATTTTTCGTGCAATGTATAATTAGCATATATGGTGCATTAAGAAATTTTTTAAAGGGTAAAAAATATTTATTTAATAGGGAGTATAGGAATTCTTTTATATCTCTAATTATAGATAGAAATAAAAAAGAACCGTAGAGAAGAATTAAGTGAAACTCTTTTATTACAGAGGAGATAGTTACAAAGGCATACATTGCATTCAAATCATAGGGACACAACAGACACAAAGTGTTGGCTCAAACATCTTTTTGCAATCTCTATCTTAAAACTTTGTACTAATTAACAGGCTTTGCTGACCTCTAGGATAGTGATTTGCTTGCCTTGACATCTCTGCTAAGATTGGAGCTACTGAAGACACTTATGGCTGTTTGTTTGAAAGTCGCCATATGGATTTTGATTCTCCTAACTTGCCAAGCATCCTTTCAAAATCTTCTCTTAAGTTCTTCAACTTCTACAATGTTATAATTAAAATAAATGAGTTAGTGCTGGTGCTAGTGCTATAATATTGTATTTTTGTTGTTACTATTGAAATTCACAATAATTGGTGATAACATAATATGAAAGAAACAACAAAAGAAGTATTTTAAAGACTCACCCAAAAGAGACTCATGTGATCAATTCGTCGTTAATAATTATGGAGGGAATGTGAGCAATCTTACGCCACTCTTTCCCACGCTTTTTCCGCAAACTTGCTTCCAGTAATGGACAGCGAGTCACACTTAGTACTGAAAGAGAGGAAGGAAATCCTTTCTTTGGCAACGACTTGAGTTTGGGAGCGTTAATAATCTCAAGGTTTTGGAGACAAGTGAGGTGTTGAAGCCACTTCTCATCAATGCTTGTATCATTAAGACCACAAATACATAGTGTCACAAGCGATGTAGGTAGCAATGGCCTCATCAGCGTGTTCACTATGTCATCGCCGTTAATTCGCAACTCCGAGAGACAAGTGAGATGTTCCCAAGTTGGCTCAGTATTCCATATAATCCCACCAACAGAGCCAACAGACAGTTTCTGTAAACGGCTAGGCAACTCATTTATGACAAAAGATTGAAGATTTGGTAGATTATCGATTTCCATATCTCGGAGGTCAGTCAGATTCTGCATTGCTTCAGGTAAAGCAGGAAGTTTCTCACACTTCCACACTGCAAAGTAAATGAGGTTTGGAGTGGCCAATCCACCTGGGGGAAATGACACCAGTTCATTACAGTCCCATATTTTGATGCTTCTAAGAAGTGAGAGACTCTTTTGAGATGCGTCTTCAGTAATTAATATTGATTTCAGATTTATACAACCCTCAATGAACAGACTCTTGAGGACAGGAAGAGTGCCTAAGGTAAATGATATCATTGAATTACAGCTATAAGATATTTTCAATTCCTCAAGCGACGTGTAGTTGTGCAAGTAGTCGTGAGGAAGGAATTCTAGATTCTCACAATTACTGATTATGAGAAGTTTCAAGGCTTTTAGCAAACCATCTGTTGGAAAAGACATTGAAGATGGAATGCCGTCTATGGTGAGCTGTTGAAGAGAGTTCAAAGGGAACATCAGTTGCCGGAATAAATGATTGGATAATGGCATTGATTGCACTAGTAAAGAACATTCTCTTAACTCAAGTTCAGTTAAGGAAGAAAATTTGTCAATTATGTTTCCTACTATCAGTTTTGGGCACTTACTTAGCGATAAAGTTTTTAGACTAGGAAACGTCGTACCTCCATTCAAGTCCCATTCCTCCCACTCTTGCATATTCTCAAAGTGTAGAATCTCCAAAGAGGGAAATGGTTGAAATGAAGAACCACCCCATCCATAGAACTCAATACCAATCGTCTCCACTGATTGCATCCCTTCAATAACGAGTTCTTTCAGATTACCCAATTGTCCAAGGGGTGGAAGCCATAAACAATCATTACAATTCGAGATCCTTAAATACACCATGTTGCTAAATATAAAACTACCTAACCAATTAGGAAAGTTGATTCCACCATAGCCTTTGATGGTGAGACTTTTCAAATTTGTTGACGGTCGCAACTTTTCAAGTACAACACTTTGAATTTGTGAATCTAAAGAAGTACTACTGCAATCCCATTCCAAAGCTAACTCGTCAATTTGTTCTTTCTTCTTTATATTGGCTCGATCTACTTCAAAGGGGTCATTAACATTTTGTAGCTGTGAGATTGAAAGTTTTCCATGCAGGTGGGGAAGTTTTCCTAGATCTGCAATATTCAATCCACCATTATGTTTGCTGACAACAAAGTCGGACAAAGTGTGGAGATTTTCTAGTTTGACTATTTGTACGGGCATCTCCCTCAATGCAGTGTCACTAACGTCAAGGTACCGCAGATTAACCAATTTTCCTATGTCCTCCGGCAATTCAGTGAACCTTTTACAGCCTGCCAACAACAAAAATTGTAAACGGTAAAGCTTGCATATTTCAGTAGGCAGCCTTTCAATATTAGTGTGAGAAAGATTTAAGTACTGCATGTATGACAAATTTCCAATAGAATTGGGGACCTTGGTGATACTCTTGTAGCTTGACAAAGACAACACGCGTAGTTGTTTCATTGTTGGCAGCAAGTCATGTACTACCTTGTTAGATAGCAAACAAAGAGGCAATTGTTCTTGTAATGGGAATGCCAGAAACATACGCAATTCTTTTAATCCGTATAATTTATCAAATTTGTCATATGAATCATATGTCCCTCTATTGTATGAAAAATTATACATCATATCATCTAGGTTACGTGTATCCATATTTAAACAGTATGAAGATGAAACCTCAGTAGCTAAATCATGGATGAAGTCGTGCATTCCAAAGTTTCCTTTCTTATCACCAATAGATCGCCGATATATCAACGACCTTGACACTAGTTCATCAAAGTATTGTCCTCCAACTTTTTCCTGATTTGTGGATGATGATGATTCAAGTAAGCCTGCTGCAATCCACAACTGAACTACCATCTTTTTTTCTAAGATGGACTTCTTCGGAAAATATGAACAATATCGAAAACACTGTTTTAAACGATAAGAAAGGAAATTGTAGCTCAATTTGAGAGAACCTACAACCTCATAAGTTGTTTCCTGAAAGTGACTTTCTAGCACATAATTCCAATCATATGGGTTTAATGAGATGCGAAGAAGAGATCCATGTTCTACAGCGGCTAATGGTAATCCATCACACTTTTTTGCAATTTTTCTGACAATTTCCTCTTGCACTTCTTTTTTAAATGCGCCAATTTCTTCTAGATAGGATCCTTGTTGGTAGTTATGTGCTCCAAATGCGTGTTCAGCAAGTATAGACCAACAATCTTCAACTTTCAAGGGTCCCAGATAATGTACATAAAGAAAGGTTTTCATGCATAGTGCAACTCTTTCATCTCTTGTTGTGACAATGATCTTACTTACCAATTCCCCGGCATTAAGGATATTCGTCAGTAGTGTCCAATTGATAGATCTTGCATCCCAGACACCATCCAATACTAGCAAAAAAGTTTGTGAAGTAGTAATAGATTGAAGGGTGGTTTTAAGAACATCTACCTCATTTGAGAAATCAGCCCAGAGTTTTAACTCAAATTTGGCCTTAACTTGAGGATGATTGTAAAGGTGTTTGGCAAGAGCTGTTTTACCAATCCCTCCCATACCAACAATAGAAACCATTCTTGTTTCACTAGACATCAAGAGATGTTTAAGTTTCTTTATATCAGCCTCTCTTCCATATATAGAAGATGCATCATCACCAACTTGTTCTCCTGAACTTAAGCCTTGTAATATTTGCATTAAATTTTCCGTTTTAGACTCAATCAGTACAATTAAAAAACTTAAACGAGAATGAATTTTGAGCTGGTCAGGACTAAGTCCGGTAGCATAAGCATACCCAAAAAAATAGCTTTTGTCGAGTAAATTTTCAGCTTGAGAAACAAGACGAGTAAGCAAATTCAGCACGTATGAGCTGGTTTGGAGTTTGTTGTTAGCATGATAGAGTACATGTTGAAGATCCACCAATGTTTTCTCAACCTTTTTCATGAGTGAAACTTTACTACTCATGCTTGAGCAGTTGGCGTGGCGTAGAGCATAAGCAACCTTTGATAACAACGCCTTCACAGAATTTGAGAGTTCTCCCTGAATGACCTCCATTAGTTACTTTGTTTGTAAGAACAAGGAGATGAACAACATGCAAGCCTTTGTTTGTAGAAAAGAGGCTGTCATATCAGATCAAGTGGCTGCTTAGGATTCACCTCCAAAGAACTCATTTTTAAATATCCTACAACTCATCAAGAAATTTAAAATGGTCCCATAAAATACAACAATACATTACACATTTAATAATAAATATATACTTTTAATCTAACTTATGTGAAGAAAACGTTTCTTTCTATGAGAATGTTTTTCAATTTATGACATATTTGCTTTGGAAACAATGTAGACAAGGTATAAAACAACCGACATTTATTCTAAGAATTTCTTTTAAGGCTATGACTCATGCCACTAAAAATTCAAAACTATGTTCAATGTGTTAAGAGATGTATCTTTGAACGCACCTTAAATTAATACATCCTTCGTAAATCAAATAGTTATCACATTTTTGCCAAAAATTAGTTCAGAGTTGCATTTTCGTAAAATTTCTAGGGTAAAATCGGAGATGCATCTCTAAAAATATCAAGCGGGAAATTGAGCATATCACCACCTTGCATGATCATCTCTCCCACACTCTTTACCACCTCCATAATCCAAAATTCTTGAACAAACTCATTCCCAATCAATTTTTTGACTTTAAATCATCATTCTTGTGTTTTATTACATCAAGTAAAGGAAAAGAAGTTGCAGTTTAAGATAAAGTTCACTTATTTCATCCCTCATTGTTTGCATTAGTCTTTCTCTTGAGCTGATAAAATGTACAATACGTCTGAATGTGCATATCCGAATTTACCTTTTCATGTTTCGGATTTGAATCTCCGAATCTTCTTGCTACTATGAGTTTTTTAAATTGTTTTTATGTTTTGGTTCATATTAGATATGGTGCACCTGCATATGTTTGTCAAAGTTGTTGTAGGAGTAATGATGTAAAATCGGATGAAGTGAATGATGATATTAAACTGAATAAGGTGAAGGACGGTGTTAAACCGGGTGTTAGGCCGGTTGTTGTCGAGATAGATGTTGGTCAATATTTTAGAAATGAACAATTTTTTATTGCTCGTGAACATATGCTTCAATTGGTCTACATGGAGGCCAGGATATTATGGTTTGAAATTGTAATAGGAAGATCTGACAATGGTCCAAATAGAAGGCAAATATTTTCACCTATGAGATGCGAGAGAAGTGGCACATACGTTCACCGACTTGGAAGTTGAAACGTGATGACACCACATCGAGAAAATGCGGGTATCTGTTTAAATTGTGCGGATACTATAAGGTGAATGATACAAGAAAATTTAATTTGGTTTCTAGTATACATGCATTGCAAACCGAGCCAGTCGTTCATCCCACCGTATGTTGCCTTAAACTGGGGAAGAAGAAAACTGTTTCAGACATGTCTTTAATCAGTGGCGCCGAAAAACATACTTGCAGGTTGAAACGAAAAAAAACCTAAAAGTGTTTCAAATATCAAGCAGGTATACAATGCACGTTATCAAAATAACATGACGATAACCGCATAGCAGGTATACAATGCGCGTTATCAAAACAACATGACGATAACCGCATAGATAGGACATGACGAGGGTTACAAATCTTAGAATGTAAGATAGGACACCGATTTGGAGAGCATTGTGTTCATTTCTTTCAATTTGATGGCAAGCTTTATCAACTAAACGACTTAACTGTTGGTGATTTTAGTATCATCAATGTATTTTAGTAGTAATGTGATTTACTATAGGCCGATGCAATTATACGTTAAGTTTGGAAACAAGTTAGGGTAGTGCATAGTGCACGCTCGTCAAGCCAACGTATAATTGAATGCGAATAATTGAAACGGGGTTCCAAGGGGCGAAGCCCTTGGCGGGGTGCGGGGCAGCGCCCCGTTGGGATTCCAAGGGGCGAAACCCCTGGTGGGGTGCGGGGCAGCGCCCCGTTGGGGTTCAAGGGGCAGAGCCCCTGGCTGGGGTCCAATGACCGATTTGAATAAATTGAACCCTTTCCCAACCGACATAACCGTTTTCTAAACAGTGGTGTCTTTTTGGTTTCTGTTATTGATCTCCTATATAAGGAGTCATTTGACCTCAGTTTCAGATACAGAAAAACAAAACTTTCTCTATACATTCCTAATCAGTTCTCTTTTGCCAGAAACAAATTGTTTTTCAAGAATTATCTCCACAAAGATTTCGTGAACCAAGACAAGAATAGGGTCGAAATACTTTGTTCGGAAAGTATACGAACACGATTCTTCGAAGTTATCCAGAATTATCATACTCAAATATCTAACATTAACTGCATAAATATCTGAGATTGCAAAAGTATGAGTAGCATATGCATTATGAACAGAGCCAGTTAAATCTTCAAGCCAAACAGTTGGATTTTAGAGAGCATCTGGAAACATAACCTTGTAAACTCATAAATTCAAATGACAAAATTCTCAAATATTCAAAAAAAAAATCTTCTCCTTCAATTTGAAAATATGTGTTATTTTAAATTTTTATTTTAAAATAATTCATTTTAATTGAATAATAATATAAAATAATTTTACATCAACAATATATTTTAATGAATTTCTTTTTTATTATATCTCTAAATATTTATTATACTCTATTTTTTCACTTTATTAAATTTATCCTTCTCATGTAATTAATAAAAAACAATTTTATATTTTTTAAATAATCTCTTTTTTCTATAGAATAATGTTGAAATTTTTTTAATGAATTATGATTTGGTAACATTATGGTTAAATCTAAATTCATTTTTTTTATGAATCAAATGGTCTTTTTTAATAAAAAATAGACAACATTTTAAGAAAAAGAATTATCATATATATTTTTAAATTAAACATTTTGAAGTTAAAAAACATAATAATCATTTTATAAAAGCGAAATATTTCCTACCTTAGTTCAAGTCTCCTCCTGCACGTGACAAACAAACGTGAAAGCCAACCAAACACCGTCTTACGAGTTTGCGGTTGAGGATGTAGAGACGCGAACTCGGCTCAAACTTCATTCAGAACAACATGACGGTAATGGAAAATAATAAGGAACAGTTGAAAAAGTGTCAAAGGAAAACAACCTCTTCTTCTTGTTATTCTCGTATCAATAATCTCGACGATGGTTGTCTTATGCACATCTTCAGTTTCCTATCCCCTATTCCAGGTATAACTTTTTTTAAACCTAAAATCTTAATCTTTATGTGAAATTCAACAATACCCAGATTTTTATTTTGATGAATTGTTTTGGGATTTTTAGTGGTTAAGGTTGGTGATTTGCTACATGAACTAGGTTTAGTGGTTAAGATTGGGATTTTTATTTTGGTGCGGTTATGTAGCACGGACATCCCTGAAAAACGGCGTGTCCGGGCCGGACATTTGCATCAACACTTGTTATTATATTTAATTTATTCATTTTTTATAATTATTATCGGGGTTGTTGTGTCAGTGTCGTGTCTGGGGTGTTTGTGCTTCATAGGTGGTACCTTTCAACTTGTATATGCGGGTTGAGTTAAATGGGTCCCGACCGGCAATATTTATTTATATTTATGCATTAATGTAAACAAATTAATTAAACAAATTGTTGATATTTGTAAATCAACCATGATGTGAAGTGTTTTTATCATAAAGCTGCTATTGAGTTTGCAGATCGCTTTAATACCGCCCTCGTTTGCCACAGATGGAATTACTTGGCATGCCATCCTCGCCTGTGGCTTCGGGTAGATCGATCGGTTAAAGACTTATCTGAGCCTGGTGTTTTCCCAAACATTGAAACTGCTGTTTCTGCTTCAAGGCATGTCAAGTTAAAGTTATTTTGTTGGTGCTATAGATTTTGTTGTAGGCCATTGATTCTAATCACTAGTTTTTTTTCTTACAGGCCTGGTGATACCATTTTAATTGCAGCTGGTGGGACTCATCGCGTGGCAAACATTCAAATAAATAAACCACTCTGCTTGGTCAGTTATCCGATTCTTATTGTATATGGTGGTGGGGGAATCTAATAAAACATATTTAGTTGCATTGTGAATTTGACAAATAAAGGGCCACCGACACTTCTGAAAAAGTGTGTATGTGTCAGTATCCGTGTCCGAAACTGATACAGACCCCTCTGAAAAATGTGTCCCTGTCAGTGATGTGATGTTTGAAACCGACACCAATATTTGTGATTACGTTTAGCAATGTTGTTAAATATCAGGTATACCAGTATTGTATATCGGAATTTTGGCTATCCGATACGAAAGCCGACATAACATTTCAATTTCGCAATATCACCGATTTTCCGGTATACTGGTATACCGTTTATGAATGGAATGGAATATTTGAAGCCATATTTTTATTATTATTTTTTTATAATAAATCATTTTTAAAGAGGGTAAGGTGAAGTAAAGAGGGTAAGGTGATTAAAGAGGGTAAGGTGAAGAGGTAGAAAAGTAGAAACATTAAAGAGGGCAAGGTGAAGAGGTGGAAAAGTATAATCTAATAAGATGGAAACATTGAAAAAGGAAAATGTGAGCTATTGAAAAGAAACTCCCAACCCTAATGTTGTTGGCACTTCATCTAAAACAAAGAAGTCGGATGGTTGAAGTGATTGAAGTGGAAGATCCAGTCGTTGAACAGTCAAAAGCGGAATTTGAGGATATCGATTCAGTCTTAGATGGTTGTTGAAGAGTCAAAAGCGGAATTTGAGGATATCGATTCAGTCTTAGATGATTGTTGAAGAGTCAAAAGCGGAATTTGAGGATATCGATTTAGTCTTAGATGATTCAATTGAAGAAGCTAAAGGATATGCCTCACTATCTGAAAAGGAAAATAATAATTATGTGGGGAAAAAGAGAATAGTTGAATCATTTATCATTAGTTAGACTTAGAAGAACTACTTGTTATTAGTTTGAACTATTTAATTTGTTTAGTTTTAATTCCTTTTAAATTTTTGTTTGTAGCTTTTCTGTTTTAGTTATTGGATTTGAAATTTTCAACTTTGAGTTTTTATTTCTGTTTTAACTGCTTTGTGGCTTCAGATATTTGCCCACAATGCTATCCGATATTTCTCATATCGGTTTTTTGGTGATCCGATATTTTCCGATATTGATATTTGACAACACTGACGTTTAATTTATTTATTTTTCAAATAATTATTGGTGTTGACGTGTCAAAATCGCAGTTGAATCTGCGATTTTGGTAGTAAAATGGAAGTTTAGTGGGAGAAAAGGTTGTCCTATTCCATTGTCAGGGATTGTCACTAGCTTCGGTAAGTACTTACAATGGTTGTCATAGATTACCAACCAATGAAAATTTAGTAACAAACCCAAGACCCTTTTGTCTATGTTCTTTAGCCCTACTATAGCTACTGTTGTTGTCAGTCGTGGATCAGCCGTATGTTCGAATTCTCACTATGCTATAGTGAGATAGTACGGCTATGGCCAATATTTGACAGCACTTAGTACTAAATAACAAATTGCGGAACAATAGTAATTTGTTCAAATTCTCTATGCTGAGGCGCAAATATAGCCTATATTTCACTAAGACCACAAATCGGTGGAATTAAGAACCTTAGAAATGGAAATCAGAACATAAGCACAGCAAGAACAGCTCAGACATTCAATGCCCTGCAGGAAGAACTTCGCCCGAACTCCAACACAAAGGAGCATAGAATGCGTCGCTCCTTCTGCAACTAATCGTTTTATCTCCGAAGTTATTTTGAGGCTGCAAACATCTTCGAAAGTGTTCCTTCCATGATGATTATTCTTGAAGCAAAAAAAAGGGTGCCAAAATCAGTTTTTCGGTTTTTTACATTTTTTTTAATTTCTTTCCGAACTGTGTTAAGAGTACTTTAAACAGAACAATAAAATGAACAGACTGTTTTTTGTTACATTTTATGTCTGCCAAATGCTGGCACACAAAATCTTCACTTAGTGTTTGTACTTTAATTCCGAGGAAACCGTAAGTGTTATTGCTGGATTTTTTTCCCGTATTTGCTTTTCCAGAACCGACGTTCTTTGTTCAGATTGGTGCAGGTGAAATTCCAGATGACACGATGCTCACTTGTTCGCGAGGCTCAGACAGGTTTGCATCTCTTAAATTTAGATTGTGTAGTCAATGTTTGAAATCTTAGCATCATTTCGGTATGCGCCGTGTTTGTTTTGTCTGAGCAGTGCACTCGAGTTCCTTTCCACCTGCAAATTAGCAAACTTAACCGTGAAGGCCGAGCTCGGTTGCTGCTTGCTTCATCGAAGCGGAAGGCTGATTATAGACGGATGCTTACTCCAATGCGAGTCCAATCCTCTCGATTTTCTCTCATGTCCTATCGTAAGTACTGCCTGTAGCAGCGAGGTGGTTCCGTCACAAACCAAGTGCAACAACGGCGTATTTGTTTCTCAGACTCGCATTGAAGGAGGCGCGAAAGCCGTTTTGACAAGTGGAGATTTGGCGTTGCAACGAGTGAGAGTGGTTTATGCAAGAACTTCTCTTCTTTTCTGGTTTGATGTAGAGCAGATGTTATCAAATTGAACCATAAGGGGTATCTGGTTTTATTTGTTGTTCTATAATTTAGTTTAGTGAAGTGATGATTCTTTTTGTGATGCATTGTGTGGTTTTGTTGTGTACTATAGTGTAACAATAATTCAGTTTACTATGATATTTAGGATGTGTTGTCCATCTTTAATGTAATAATAAGATTATGTGCCTCATCCAAAGAACACATGTCATCCATCTTCCACTCCTCCTTCACACAATAAACATATAGGACACGAAACATAATGTTGTCGATGTCGACCTCGAGTTGGGAGACAACCACGACAAATCCTCCAAAGTAAGTGTTTAGCTTTTGGCATAGCTTTAATCTTCCACAAACTATATCACTCACCCTTTACACTTCAACATCTTTTATTACTTTGAACACACATCAACAACTTGTAACATGATTTAACACTATAGCTACCATTTTATTCCTCTTTCCAAGCCAAACATTTGTTTAAGTTTTTGAGCATCCCATTGTTTAACAAGCAGTGGAATTACATGTGTACTAATGTTACAAAGTAATCCCATTGTTGAGGCTTTCATTCATACATAACGGATAGGATGTATCAGTATTTATACCAAGTAATATGAGTCTCTAATGAAACTAAATACATACATGTGGCATAAGGCTACTGGCTACAAAATAAAGTAAATAATGTAAGCTATGTATAATATATGTTAATATTCCCCCTAAAGTTGGGCATTGGATGCTTTGTCCAAATTGGTCTTCAAAGAAGGAGAGTGTGAAGGCTTGGTGGACATGTCAGCAAGCTGGTCATGAGTTGAAACAGGTAGCAAGTGAATGAGCTTAGATTTGATCTTTTCACGCACAACATGACAATCCAACTCTATGTGCTTGCTACGCTCATGAAAAGTAGGATTGTGAGCCAAGTAAATTAGCTGATTTACTATCACAAAATACAAATGCAGGCGGATTGAAGTGAACTAGCAGATCATGAAACAAGTATTGAAGCCACTGAATTTCACAAGTGATAGAGGCCAAAGCACGATATTCAACCTCATTAGAAGACCTTGAAACCATGTGTTATTTCTTGGACTTCCAACATAAAAGTGAGGAGCCCAACATGATGCAATAACCAGTGACATATTTTCTAGTATCAGGATACTTAGCCCATTTTGAGTAAGCAAATGCAAAAAGTTGTAACTTGCTAGAAGATGAGAAAAGAATGTCCGTAGTAGGGTAGTGTCATCTCCATCAGAGGCCTGTCTCTCGAATAAATCACTTTTCTGTAACGACGACGATACATCTTATCACTAATACAAAAATATGAGAATATATGTGAAAACAATAGATCACACCACCTCTATTTATAATAAAATTACACAACACACACGGTCAGTGGTGAAGCCATAAATTTTTTGAAACCTGGGCAAAAATTTAAAGACCGCAAATTCAAACCGTATATAATATATAAATAGTTATCAATCAAAATAAAAAGTGTTTAATTTAGTTGGTCTTGGCAAAATTTTAAAACTAACATAGCCATATCCAACTTGAGGTTGATTCTAACATGAAACATCATTTCATGTAATTCATAATTATTCATGAAATTAGCATCAAGTTAACAACATAATTTTATTTGCTAACTACTATAACTCCAAACTAAAATTAAAAAAAAAACTTCTTAGTTAACATAAATTGAACCATATTATTTATAACATATATAAAGAGAAAACTTAGATTTGATGTAGCCTATTTTTATTCCAATTATACCCTTTTGTTTTTTATTATAAAATTCAACTTCTATTTTACTAACTTCTTCTTTATTAACTATTATACGGTAGTTTGCACAACTATTTCATTCAATTTTTTTATATATAAATTAAAAAAATAAACACACAAAAAATACATTTATATTTTTAAACGTCTGAATATTAAAAAAACGGACAGACGTCTGAACGCTAGTTTATATAAAGTGAACATAAATTGAAGTATTGGACCTCATTTAAATAAAGTGAATCAATCAATAACAACAATTCAGCACCATAATTCATAAACCACAACTTGTAACAACAACAATAATTCAACATCATGAAGTAAAATAATTGAAGCTAAAATAGGCGAAAAATTGGTTAAAACATTCTATCGAATACCTAATATATTATTTAAAGATAAAATTTATTATTTTCTTCTTCTTTTTTACGACACTGTATATGTGTTTTTTTTTTTTTTAAATTTTAGTAGCTGCTACTTTTATGTTAATTTTTATTTCTCCTAAGTATTCATTTTTTGTTTTTGGTTAATTTGGTCATAAATTGCAACTTTATTCTTTATTTCAATTCTTTCATTTTTTGTAATGTAGTTAAATCTAAATATTATAATATCAAAAAATTGATGTAATGTATGCTTAATTGCATAAAAAGGTTTAAAAAAATCATGTTTTTATTCGTGAAAAATATTTAATTTATGGCAGTTCAAACTGCCATTATCAACGACAAAAAACGCCATTTATTCATTGTATATTATGGCATTTTGTGTGTCAATTGTGGCGGTTTAAACCGCCAAACGCACTTTGTAACTGCCACAATTTTCATAATTTTTTTTTAAAAGAAGAAAAATTTTTAGGCCAGAGCTTGGGCACATGCCCAGCCTGGTCGGGCCTTAAAATCGCCCATGTACACTGTCTCCAAACTAATTGGAGACATCTTTCAAATTTAACACATCATCGTCAATTGGATTAAAGACAACTTATGGTGTCTGAATCTAATTGGCGCCTCCTCTCACAGTTAGAGAGTTGTCGTCAATTGGTTTGGAGACAACACTTAATCTCACCTCAAAGTGGAGCATTTTGAAAAATAATATGAAAAGTATGTTATTTTGAGATTTTTTTAAAAATGTGAGTTATTTGAGTAAAAAGTTCTAAATTGACCGAACTGATTCAAAATAAATCATATTAAATTAGCCATAACTGATTTCTGTGTTGTTACTTGTTGCTTTATTATCATTATTTTGTTTTGACTCATTGTTACTTGTTATATAGACTTTTTTACTGTAGTGCTCTAGTTTGAAATGCTAAATACCATACTATCCTACTTTGAAAAAAAAGCACAAGAATTGCCCTAACTGCAGGACATGCTCGTCCACTCAAGTGGCGAGCTCATGAGTTATTTTTGCTGATGAAGGTGCTCGTCCACTCAAGTGGCGAGCACATGTGGTTTTTTTATTTTTTATTTTATTTTACATATTTGTATTTTATATAAATCATTTATTTAATAATTTTAAATATAAAAAAACATATTATAGAATATATTATATTAATTTAATACTTATACATCAATTAAAAATAATATATTAAAAAATTATATTAATTTAATAATTAAATACTAATTAAAAATATATTATATTAATTGAATATAATAATAAAATATATTTAATTATATTAATTAAATATAATAATAAAATATATCAAACAAAAATACATTTTACATATAAATTTTTTCAAAAATGGCCCCCAGTTCCACACCTAGTGGCCCTTTTATGTTGATATCCCCTGCCCACACGATTGTTTGCATTCCTTGTAGGTGATTGAGATGAATCGGAAGACATATCTTGATCGTGATGTGTTGTAGGGGGGTCCGTCTGTCTTGAAGGGGGTTCTGCTTGTGTCAAAGGTTGCTCAACAAGAAGATCATCAATGTTAAAATCTGGCATTTGCATCAGTTGATCATCCGTCAGCAAAAAATGTTGGAATGAATGTGATGGTTGTGGTGGTTGGGTGTAGGTTTCGGGTTGGGTTTGTTGGATGGTTGGGTAGTAGACATCATCAGGCGTGAAGGTGGAGGTGGGTTGAGAGAATGAAGTGTTGAAGGTTTGATGTTGAAATAAAGGGTTTGATTGCTTAAAGTTTGACGGAAGAACTGGAGTGAACTGCAAGGGTGGTCGAAGGTTTGATTGGGGTTGATATTGTTGGTTGTAGTTGTAGTGGTAGTTTTGTTGAGGTAGTGGAGTGTAGGGAGTTTGGTGTTGGGATGAGGATGCATAATATATGTGTTGTTTGATGGTCTGTGTGTGTTGGTATGTATGTTGAGCTGATGAAGATGCGTGCCCCCCAAATTGATATGTGTACATTGGTGACACATCTTGATGCATTGGTGCGGAATTTAGTTGTGTTGATGACGAACCTTGCATGCGAGGATCGATCAAAAATTGGTCTGGAGCAATATGCACATACGAAATGACACGAAACCAATTTAAATACTCTTGGCTTGGCTTGCGTTCACCAACTACATCGTCCCCTGCAAAATCAAATGTCTTCTATGTTTCCATTCTTTCACCTCTTCTTTATTTAAGTTTTGTCAATGAACTTTTTGGGTTTTTCTCATCGCCATTGTGGGGTGTTCCCTTAGACACCTTGGCGGGGAAGGGATTTGTTGTTTAAATCTGAACTGGAGTTTTACCCTATCTGTTTGATGCATTTCAACAGTATAGAAACAAGCAAGAGAAGTTGTAGCACTCTAGATCTGGCTATCTCTAAGATTGGGCACCAAGTATTGAATGTACGACCTCCATATAAACTGACACATATTAAAAAAAATTATAATACAATTAAGGAGTATATGCAACAACTAGGTTCTATGGTTTCAAACTCACGTCTTTTTCTTGCATGTGGTACAATGCGTTTCGATACCCTTGTAGATGGAAACGAGGATTAGCATCGTAATTCATGCGTCTTTGGGCCCATCTTGCAGAAACAATAAATATAAATATGTTAGGCATAGTTGACTAACAAATATATATATATATATATATATATATATATATATATATATATATATATATATATATATATATATATATATATATATATATATATATATATATATATATATATATATATATATATATATATATATATATATATATATATATATATATATATATATATATATATATATGCATGTTTTAATCTAGTAATACCTTTGAGCATATGGATATGACGATTGCAATGTACTAACAGGAACAAACAATGGTATACGCGTGAATGCCCAAGAAGTGAGTAGAAGAACACAACCACTCATGCTCCTGACATCTTTGACTGAGGCCTTGCACATTTCTCTGTACAGTTTTGTAAGACATGCAGAACCCCAACTAAAGATGTTGCATTTTTCTAGATCCCATACGAAAGGAATCCAAGAAGAATGCAAAAGATTTTAACTCTTGTCGGGAAACAAAATAGTAGCAATTACAAGTAAAATATAAACTTTAGCTTGTAAAATAGTATGTTATTGGGTTGGGGCAGAGTTATTTTTTAAAACTTTGTATAAATTCTCTAGCCACGTAATCCTAACAGAACCTCTGTTTTTATTCACTTCTGTAGGTTCCACCGCTAAGTTCTCCATGTAAACATCATTTGTTACTTCGGTAGGACCGTTGATAGCTTTTCCATCAACTCAGAGACCAAGTAACATATTCACATCTTTTAACGTTATCATGCATTCACCTGTTGGGAAATGAAACGTGTGTGTGTCTGGTCTTCATTTCTCTAACAGAGCTACAACTAGGCTAGAGTTGATTTTGAGACTAATTATTTTTGCGATATTAGCAAAACCTGCTATTTCTAAATACGGGATTATTCCCGCACTTGCTTGAATGAGAGCATGAGAATGCACTTGATACCTTGCATTAGTCTGAAAAGAAATGAAATAATATTGAACTAAAAAATTATAAACATTATTACATAGAATAGTATAGGAAAACTTACACTACCTTGAATGTTTAGTTGTGTTCCACGGTGTTCATCGCCCATCCGCAACAAAGACATTTTGATAGAGTGTAAAAAAATTTGAAGAAATGCTTGAGTGTTTGTTGTTGCTAGAGTGTTTTATGATAGAAGTAAAAATGTTTGTAGAAAAATCTTTGAAGTAAAAATGAATTTATAGATGAAGTAAAAATGTTTGAAGTGTAAATGTGGCAAGTAGAAATGACATTACACTGAGTTTTGCATGACATTGGTAATGGTTAATTGCATGGAATGCATGCAAGGCTACTACGTAGGTCTTACACAATGTACCTTGCATGGAGAACATTTTTCTGCAGCCTTCATGTACTTGCCACTTGGGTGAACGAGTTGCTGCGAATCCAAGAGCATGCTCGCCATCTGGTTGGGCGAGCAAGTGCTAAGGAAGGACATGCTTGTCCTTTGAGTGGACGAGCTCACACTAGCTTTATTTTCTTTGCATTATATGTGTTATATATTGTTTGTATCATCACTCCATATTCCATTAACAAAATCATAGAGTTTTCACATCAAATATGGCTCAAAGAAATATAATAGTTACCTGCCACTTTAATGGTACTGTTTCGACAAATAGTACTGTTGGATTCTCATTCGTCAACACAGATACTTACGCATTTAAAATTCATGTCAATTCTGATTTTTTCATTTCAAAGATAGAATGGAAAAAATTAGAACGGTTGAGAAGATTATTTATCGTCATCCATTACTTAATGAAGAGGACGGTATAATTTTTTACGTAATGATGCCAATCAGGAACGACGAAGACGCGGAAGCAATGTTTCGTTGCCACATGATGTTTGGTCAGTTACCCACAATTGAGCTGTATGTTCGTCTATTGGAAAATGCCAAAACATTTCCAACGCAAGAGACACAATCACACCACTATGGAATGAGCCAAACATTAGACGACGAACCAACACAAAACAACGAACCTTTCATACCAAATGAAGAGCTTGGGGAAGCAAGCGACGATGATCTTCAAGAGGTCAGGATGCAAGATATTTTTGGTAACAGTGATGATGAGGATGATGAAGATATAATAGTCATGTTTATGCAGACGATTCACACCGAACCAATAAGCTTGTACAACCCACCTGCACATATGCAAAATATATGCATGGAAGATGATGAAAAAACCTCTGTGTTTGGAGGTGTCATACCAAACCATATAGGTGACGAAATAGAGATTGGGATGGAGTTTGAAAACAAGGAAGCTTGCGTTTTTTCTCTACAACATTGGCATATAACACATAGTGTTGACTATTGGGTTTACCAATCTGATAATGAATGATACGTAATTAAGTGTAAGAAAGAAGACTGCAATTTCAAATGCAGAGCTTCCTTGAGAAAAATGAACTCAAAATGGGTGACTGGTAAGCTGTCTAGGCCTCACACATGCACTACCACGTCCATGGCACAAGACCATAGGAAGCTCAGTTCAGAAATGATTAGCCACAACATTAGAGAGCTTGTCAATCGAGACGCTTCACTTAAGGTGAAAGTGATCATTGCCCATATTCTTAAAAAATACAGGTACATAATATCTTACAGGAAATCATGGATCGTTAAGTGTAAGGCCATAAAGTCGCTCTACAGAAATTGGGAAACATATTACAACGACCTACCACAGTGGATATTGGTAATGAAAACCTATCTTCCTAGAATCATTATAGATTTGCAAACTCTACCTGCAATTTTAAATGATGGTTCTCAAATCTCTGAAAAATGAATCTTCCATCGTCTATTTTAGGAATTTCGACCGTGTATACGTGACTTCGCCTACTGTAAGCCCATTGCACAAGTAGACGAAATGTGGTTGTATGGCAAGTACATAGGAACTCTGTTGATGGCGGTGGCACATGATGGAAACACATATATTTTCCCAATAGCTTTCACGTTGGTCAAAGGTGAAACAAAGGAAGCATGAAGCTTTTTCCTAAGGAACCTGAGGTTACACGTGACACCAGAATCTAATTTGTGCCTAATCTCAGATAGACATAAATCGATAAAGAGTGCGTATAACAATTCCGAAAACGGATGGCAACGTCCACCATCTTCACATGTCTATTGCATTAGACACATTGTGCAGAACTCCATGCGCGAGATTAAGGACAAAGAACTACGCAAAAAACTTATTAACATGGGTAACAAAATGCATTTTAGTTATGTGAACTATTTTATCACACTTTACTATGTTTTTCCTACCATTTCTATTACAGGTTACACATTGACAAAGGCTACATTTAACTAATATCGCGGAGAAATCCGAAGAACAGACATTGAGGCCTCATATTGGATAGACAACATACCTAGAGAGAAGTGGGCTAGAGCATTTGACGGAGGGCAACGTTGGGGACATATGACATCTAATTTAGCAGAGGCCATGAACTTTGTACTAAAGGCAACCCGAAACCTTCCAATCACTGCATTGATCCACTCTACATACTATCACATGGGTTCCCTCTTTGGTAAGCAAGGACACAAATGGACCAAAATGCTAACTACCGACAAAGTTTTCACAGATGGTTACAACAAGGGAATGGTTGATGAGGTAGCCAAGGCTAACACACATAATGTCATGCAATTTGATCGCGAAAGATTCTGTTTCATGGTGCAAGAAAAAATTAATCAGAACGATGGTCGTCCGATGGGTACTTTCAGCGTTGACCCGAGGAATCGTTGGTGTGACTGTGAGAAATTTCAGGCATTTCACTTACCTTGCTCCCACGTGATCGCAACGTGTTCTAGCATACGTCAAGACTACACCATTCACATTTCAGAGGTCTTAACAGTTCTTAACGTATTCAAAGTCTACAGACTACAAGGAAAGCTTCCTGGGACTACTTCACGAGGAGAACTGACCAAAATATGAAGGATTTACTCTTTGCCACGACGATTCCATGAGAAGGAATAAGAAGGGATGTCTAACTAGTAGTAGGATTAGAACTAAAATGGACAACGCTGAAAAGGAAAAGAGAATGTGTGAGATTTGTAGAGAAATAGGCCATATGCGTAGGAAATGTCCAAATGTTGCCGGTCCGTCAAACCGACCGTCTAAATAATTTTATTTATTTTACAAATTAATCGGTTTGTAAAGTTTTTTGCTTGCACTTGATTTCTCTGTGATCCAACATTTATTTGTAATTTAAGACAATTTTTAGATTATAGTAATACTAGTAGATTACAACCATGAACTTAATATAAGCTTGTCCATACATCATCATGACACAATCGTAATCGTCCAATGGATGCCATCATTTATGTTTTCTAAATAAAATTAAAATTCAAGAAGCTAACATACAAGCTAATCAACAACAGCAACCAACACAAGTGGATCTTAAACTCCTCTATTAACTTCGCCACTATGTGCTGAAAACATACATTGGACATCTTCATCATTTTCTATACGATCTAAGTAATACATGTACGTACCCTCCGGGTTTGCATCAGTCAACGTTACATACGGACAACGACACTCCATTTTTCTCACCTTCATGCGACAACCACCCAACTGTCGAAATCTCATGTTAATTGCTGCAACCACGGTTCTGAAATTTCACTGCGGATCTAGGTAAACACTGTTTTTTTTTCTTGTCCATAGAAAACAAGAGCTCGGACATACATTTTTGAAAAACGAAACACCAAGCACAAATGATTTGTGTTGATGCACATTAATCTATTTATAGAAAAATAATACGTTTAAACTCGGTCATTCATTCGCCGAGAGTCTGTAAAAACTCGACAACTTATTGGACGAACATCAATCATTTTTTAAAATACATGAAAGAAAAAAAATTAAAATATTATTTAATTCATAATTTATTTTCTTTCTAATTAAAAATAATTATTATAATTAATTAAACATTATAATAATATGATATATAATATTTTTAATTAGTATATAATCATTAAATTAATATAATATATTTTTAATATTCAAAATTATTACTTTAATAAATTAAACACTATACAAATATAAAAAATAATAAAATAAAAAAATTATACATGCTCGCCACTTGAATGAACGAGTACCTTTATCATCAAAAATTATTCATCTGCTCGCCAATTGAGTGGACGAGTATGCTATTTAATATTTCAAATTAGGGCAGACAGTAAAAAAAAGTCTGTTATATAACTTAGTTTAGTTGATCGATGATGCTTTTTTCTACTCTTGTTGTGTACTATTATCATTTGTAACAAAGAATCAAAATTACTGATCTTCGTCCCAAATAAACCTATAAGTAAGTTAACTGGTTAAGAAGCAGGACCACACTTTCAAAAAGTTTGTCAACCCTAAAAGGTCAAGTCAGGACAAATAGCATATTAGGTTTGGAATCAAATTTCTTTTAAAAAAGTTACACCAATTTAAGTAAAGTCTTGTTGTGGTTTTGAACCTATTTTCATCCTATACAGTTATAGCTACTCTAATATTGTTTCAAAATGAGTTAGTGGTCAATTTAAATAATAATAATAATAATAATAATAATAATAATAATAATAATAATAATAATATAAAATTCGATAATTATTAGGAAGGGATAAATTGAATTCCTTTGTTCTGCATGTCTTCATCATTGTCTGACATGCTAAGTGTTTCCATTTTCATATAATAAGGCAGTGATTGCACGAAAAAAGAATTGTCGCATTCTAAAGAAGCAAATACATCAACCTGCATGCAGTGTTCAGCATATAACCTGGAAAAATGCACAGAAAGCCCGTGACCAAACATAAATGCATGGTAGGTTTGTAACATTATGTACGATAAATGATATCTTAGTCAATAAATTTTCTGCAAAATTGCTTTGTTGGTTTGTCGGTTTTTAAAAAAAAGACTGTTTCTGACAAAAGGTATTTACATTTTGATCCAACAATTATTTAGGTTTTTTTTCTAGTCCTTATCACCTCTTTTATAGGTCTTCTTTTCTAGTAAGAGTTTGTCGTTTAATAGCTTTTTTCTACATTCTTCCTTTATAGCATTAGCACCTCTTCTCTTCACAATTTTAAAAGATATGGACAAGTATATTGATAAGTTAACTTTTTATTGCTAATTGAACCCTCCATCTCTATTATTGTGAAAAGTTGTTGTTCATGTAGTATGAAAAGATCCTCCAGCTATCAATCACTTGTTGAAATATTAAATTTGATTGAGGACTAAATATATTATTTGGTTTTTTGGACTTAGATAATTTTCAGTAATATTTTTAAAATTTTTTTATATAATTTGAAATATCTAGATATTTCTTAGGGTTGTGATATTTTTTAGAATGCTCTTGAAATTTTTAATGTTGAAAACTCTCTAGAATTAGTGTGTTTAAAGTTCTCCTTAGAGTACTATAAATAGAGATGTAATCCTACACTTTTGTATAAAGTAAAATACAAAGTTCTCTCTTCCATTAAAAATTCTCCTGCCTATCAAGTTTCTCTTTAACCCTATAATATTTCCACACATTTTCCCTAAACATAAAAAACTTTATTTTCAACAAAGTGGCATCAGAGTTTTAAGGTCCTCAAAAGATGGTGAATGGAGGTTTCCCTTTTCAAATGTTGATGCTCACAAAGAATAAATATGACAATTGGAGTATCAAGATGAAAGCGCTACTAGGAGCTCAAGATATGTGGGATATTGTTGAGAAAGGCTTCAAGGAGCAAGATGAAGTCTCGCTAAGCCAAGGTGTAAAGGAGACATTGAAGGAGTAAAAAAAGAGAGACAAGAAAACTCTCTTCTTCATTTATCAATCGGTGGACGAAGATATATTTGAGAAGATCTTCAATGCAACAACGACCAAAGAAGCATGGAACAAACTTCAAACTTGCAACAAAGGAGTGGATCAGGTGAAAAAGATTCGTCTTCAAATTCTTAGAGGTGACTTTGAATGTTTATTTATGGAAGAGTCTAAGTCATTTTCTGATTATTTTTCTCTTGTCCGTAGTCAATCAACTTAAAAGAAATGGTGATGTTGATGAGGTAAAAGTCATGGAGAAAATACTTCACACTTTAAATCCAAGTTTTTACTTCATTGTTACCAACATTGAAGAAAACAAGGATTTAAAGATCATGACTATTGAGCAACTCATGGGTTCCTTACAAGCATATGAAGAAAAACAAAAGAGAAAAATTAAACAAAAGGAGACTATGGAGCAACTACTACAACTCAACACAAAGGAAGCAAACTATGCGAATTACAAGAGTCAAAGAGGACGAAGTTGTGGCTAAGATACCTATAGTTATAGGTAAAACCACTCTTCCCGAATCACCTTCTTTCCTCGGAAGAAAACTTTGGATGATAGCGCTACAATTAGCATTAAGCGGAATGGTTTCTTTGTCTGTAAATCTCTTCTTTTTTGTGAGTATGTCTTTCATGAATTTGGCATACTTGGGCATTTGTTCAAGAGCTTCCGAAAATGGAATGTTTATTTGCAAAAGGCTAAAAATATCCAAGAATCTATCATAATGCCTCTCATTATCTTTTTTTTGTAGGAGCATGCATATATGTTAATTTTTCATTGGAATGTCACTTACATGCTCCTTCACTTACATCAGCATCTTCTTGAACCTTATTATTCTCCTCCTTATCACAATCCAGATTTCCCTCAGCATCTTCTTCAGACAAAGCATTTATCAGGATATCCAACATGCTCTTCTTTTCAGTACAAGCTTTGATGGTTTCATCCAAAGTTTTGCATGTGCCCTTTAATTTAGTAATGATTCTTGTCCTAGAAGTAAAGCTG